GGGAAGGGATCCAATCCCCCGGTATGTTGCCAGGGGACCCTGTGCTGCCGGAAGGTCCATCTCTCCAATTGTTATTGTTTTGTTCATGTTACAGTAACATACAGAGGCCTGGACTAAGACCAAGGCCCCATTGTGCCAGGCACTGTACACACACGGTGAGTGAGAGCCCCTGCCCAAAAGAGCTGACAATCCAAACAGAGAAGACAGACAGTGTAGGAGCAGAAGGAAAGGTTCAGCAACTTGTCCAAGGTCACACAGCAGGTTGGTGGCAAAGTGTAGACCGGAAACAAGCTCCTCTGAGCCCCAAATTACTGCCTTAACCCACTGGCAGTGGCAGGTTTACAATGACTCCAGTGCCTCCACGGAGCCGGGCCCATGCTCAGAAGGGGCCCTGGCCTGCTCCGCTTGCCCTGCACCCCGAGACCCCGCTGGCTCCCCCCGCCCACCACTTGCTCCTCTAGGCCTGCCTGCTGGCTGGCCGAGGTCTCCTCTCGGTCCCCTGGCCCCTCCGCCCCCTGCTCCTCTCTGCCCCCTGGCCAGACCCCAGTGCACCTCCGGCTCCGGGCAGCCTCTGCTTCCCACCCCCTGTGGGGGGCCCCCCCTTTCTCCCTGGAGCTGAGCCGCCTGGGACTGGTGCAGAAGCCTGGCCAGTCTCAGCCGGGTTCAGGGGGGGTGACAGCGTGCGGGGCTTGGCAGGGCCCCTCCAGGAAAGTGCGTCTTGAGGGATCCTGGCCGGGGCAGGCCCTGGCCTGGCTGATCATGCCACTCCCGAGGGGCTGAAATGATTCCCGGCCCTGGGACAAACCCTGGCTACGCTGCTGGCTCAGCCCAGCAGACACAGTCACCTCCCAGCAGGGCTGGTGAGTGCAGCTGGGAGGCAGGGCATGGGGGAGTGGGTCTCCGGGGCATTGGGGTGGAGTGTTGGGCTGAGGAGGCAGGGAAGATCTGTGTGCGGGGGCACTAGGAATTGGGGGTTCTATGTGGGGTGCTGGGCAGTTGTGGTGGGGTTGTGGACGGGGGGCTCTGGGCAGGGGTGGTTTTGTGCAGGGTGCTGTGCATTTGAGGGGGAGGTCTGGGGGAGCACTGGCCATAGTGGGTCCGGGCGGGGCTCTGGAGTTGGGGAGTTGTTGGGTGGACCCGTCCCCGAGGGGAAGGGACATGCCGGCAGAACACGGCCAGGCGGGCCACTGTGCATCTGGCAACTGCCGGTTCGTAAATAGTGCCCTCGCACAGGGCTGGATTGAGCCGGACCGCCCCTGCCATGCCATGCCCCACTGACTCTGGTTGGCCCCTCGCTCTGGGGACTTACCTCCCTGTGCCATACTCCATTGCCTCCATGGGGGCCCACAAGTATGTTTGGCGCCGAGCCCACAAAAGGTTAATCCGGCCCTGCCCACTAGACCATGTTGCCTCATTAAAGCCCTGATCGTTTGTGGTCATTTAAGCTACCGTAACATTTCTGTTCAGAAATGGGGGTGTTACCCCTTCGGCCATAGCTATCTCCCTTGGGTAATGTTCTCCCTTACATTTTGTCGTTTTGTCATAATTGGATGTAGTATCCTTCTTCAATTCCTGTCCTAGATTGCTGTCATGTGATGTTTAAGAGCTGCCTTTAGGATTCCACTGAGGAGTGACTGCATTTAATAGTAAGTGTAAATGAACCCTACATAGCCAGAATGTACCAGATAGGGATTTTGTGAGGCTATTCAGCCAATGTTTATGGAGTGCTTTGAGTCTGCTGAATGAACGAAGCAGTATTATGTGATCCAAATACCAAGAAAGTCGATGGAAAGACTCCCTTTGACTTCGATGGGTTTGGATGAGGCCCTTAGGCCCAGAGTCAGCAAAGCATTTATGTACCTGCTCCAATTTAAGCAGGGACATAAGCCAGTCCCTATTCAGAAAAGTAAACGTTCTTAAGTCCCGTTGACATCAATGGGATGTAAATGTGATTAAAGTTAAGCATGTTCTTAAATGCTTTGATAAATCACAGCTTTAGTGTAGATGACTTATTACTATTATTATTATTAACCAGAATTAATAATTATTAAACGTATTAGCTATTATTAATTGCTAGTATTATTAACAACTTGGATTGGCACATCAGCAATGGAAAAAATACTCTCAAGGGTCAAATAACCAGTTCACTCTGAAGGGGCAGTGGACAACCAGGCCAAGGTATTCTTCTCAGAACAGTGTGTAAACTGACTCTTATTCTCTTACCTATAGGCTGGCCCAGAGCAGCTTTTAGATACACTGAGATCTTCCTTTCCCATCATGTCATTTCTAAACAATTAAGTCACTATCAGGGAGGAAACAGAATTTTGGGTCCCAGCTGCACAAAAACACCAGGGTAAACTAGTTTGCAAGCAGATCTGAAGGTACTTAGACAAGATGGATGGGGGAAAGCTACCAGTGAAATATCAGCCTGTTCCCCCTCCAGCCTGTTGCCACTGTACGGCGAGGACTTGTGATCACATGGCGGGGAGGGGGGAAAGGCATTTTGCATGTTAAAGGGATGGAAAAAATCCCGTTTCACCATTTTCATACCCTGATCCTTCCCTAGGCAATGACCCATTAGTTACAATGGGTCTGATCCACAGTTCCTAGCATTCTCTTTTTCTCATTGAAATCAATGGCTGGACAAGGAAGGCAGGATCAGGTCTCCGATTTGTACAACATTGTTATTACCCAAAACAAAACAAACAAACTAAACCCCATATTTGGGCTCCAATCCTGCAATGTGCTGCATGGAGACAGAGCCCTGCACTTGCATGGAGCCAGATTAATCTCTATGGGGCTCTGCCTGGGGGCAGACCCACATAGCTGACAATGCAGGGTCAGGACCTTTGTTTGTAAGATCTTTGGAGCAGGTATGGTCTCTTGCTGTGTGTCTGTACAACACCTACCACAAAGGGGACCTGATCTCAGCTGAGGTCCCTAAGCCCCATCATACAACTACTATCCTTATTAGTAAACAGATTAGAGGTTAATCACATATGGAGATGAATTATTAAACCCAGTCGTGACAACTATAATTAGAGAGGAAAGCAGCATGGTTTAATAGTCTAAACATCTAAGTCCACCTCTGCCACAGACACCCTCTGTGGGCTAGGGCAAACCACTTCACCTCTCTGCTTCCAATCTTATTAAACAAGGATGATCATTATCCATCTATCTCTGTGGGCATTTATTATAGCCAAGATTTACAAAAGGGACTTTTGGTTGCCTAATGTTCTGGTGCCTGACTATAAATTGGCCTGATTTTAGAAAGTGGTCAGCACTCACACTCGAAAAACCAGGCCTCTCTCAGGTGCCTCCGAATGAACCCCAGCACTGCATCCCCCAGAGTCACCAGGCACTTCTGCAATCTCACCATCATATCAGGGAATGTGAGCTACCTAGCAAAGGTGTGCGCTGAGAATGAATTGCCTGATGTTCCTCAAGCAAGTTGAAGATGGAAAGTGCTGGGTAAATATGAAGTATTATTTTTAGTATAATGGGAAAACCAAGCTAAGGCCATTTGAACATTAACCACATGCCAGGGAAATTAGCTCCTGGGTAGACAATTCATTCCCACGTTTGACAGTGACACCTCAGACAACTTGTTTGTACATTTTTTAAAAGCGTAGCAAAGAGAATGTCCGTATGTCTAAACAACTGACAACAAAGAGAAGGTCTGACATCTCTCAGTTGCACCGGTTTTGCACTGGCGTATCTCCTTTGACTCCACTGGAGTCACTCCTGATTTATCCTAGCTTACAGGATAGGAGCAGAATCAGACTCATAACGTTCAAACTCAGAGACACTTCACAATCCCCTTCCAGAACAGCACCTGCTGTGAGATTTGCAAGTCCATTCATTATATTTCCTCTCAATTGCGCTTCTCTTAGATCATCTTTGCTTAATAAACACTTCGCTGACTTGCTCTATAAGAGTATCTCCAGGCATGCTCCATTACTGGGTGAAATTGCCTGTCCCCTGCGGTTATAATGGCAACGGGTGATTGCAGAGGTTGTCTCTGCTTTTATAACGTTGACAGGGAAGGAAGGAAGGAAGGAAAAGGCACCGGGGTTCTCCTGTAGCCAAGCACACAACGAGCCTGCAGCAGTGAAAGCCCCCCACCCATGCACCATCACCGAACCGGACTGGATCGCCCTGGCCTGGATCACCCTGTCTCCTGGCAACCGGAGAGCGGTGTGTAGAGACGTCATTTCCTGAAGAGCCGCTGACAGGGGGCTGGCCCTGGCCGCCGGGCCGCGGACGGGACCCGGCTCAACAGTTTGGCAAAGTCGCTCTCCCGAGCCCGAGCCCGCGGCGGCGGGGCCCGGCGGCAGCAGGGCGCCGGCCCCGGGGCTGGGCGGGGACCCCGGCCGCTCAGCCGCGGGAGAAAGCGACTTGGGAGCCGGCGACCCGGAGGAAGGGAGCCGAGTGGCGGGGGACCGGCTCTTGGCCCGCGGGGGGCGGACTGGGGCTCGGGAGCGAGCTCCCCGGTTGCTCCCTGCCGCAGGGCTGTGGGGGGCTCCAGACAGCCCGGCGCGGGGCTCCCCGCCTCTGCCAAGGCGAAGCCCGCCGGGATCCCGGCTGCAGCGCCCGGGACGCGGGGAGAGATCGCGCCTCCCCGGCCAGGGGCAGGCTGGGCACAGCAGGAGACCCCGGGCAAAGGCAGCCCGGGGGCGGGTTTCCAGCGACTTTCCGGCCTCTCCGCTGGGCGCGGCGCGGTCTCCCTGCCGGAGGAGCAGCAGGCTCTGCCCCAGGGCCGGGGGAGCCGTGTGTGTTCCGGGGAGGGGGCTTCCCCCTTCTCTGATGGCTGCTCCGCCCTCGGGGCTGAGCCACTGGCCGAGCCTGCGAGCCGCGCGTCCCGCCCCGGCGGCGGCTCTGGGCTGACGGAGCGCGGCCCCCGTCCAGGGCAAGGTCCCGGGGCCTGGCCCGGCCCTTTGGGGAGGGGGCTGCTGGAGGATGCGCTGACTGGGAGGCGCTCACCGGCCCCCCTCCCAGGGCAGCGGGGAGATGAGCGCCGAGCTGCACCGCACGTCGGTGAACTCCTGCTCCAGCTCCCCGGGCCCGGCGGCGGCGGCGGCGGGGCCCCCGTCGGGGGCTGGGAGCCGGCTGCTCTCGGCCAACGTGCGGAAGCTGCACCATGCCCTGACCCTGCTGCTGAGCGAGCCGGAGCGGGAGCAGTTTATCCACTGCCTGAACGTCTACCACGCCCGCCGCAACGTCTTCGACCTGGTGCAGACCCTCCGCGTCCTGCTCGACAGCCCGGGCAAGCGGCAGCTGCTGCCCATGCTGCGCCTGGTGATCCCCCGCTCCGACCAGCTGCTCTTCGACCAGTACACCTCGGAGGGGCTCTACCTGAAGCCCGGCTTCCTGCCCGGCTGCGGCGCGGCGGGCTTGGGGGCCCCCAGCCCACCCGCGGCTGGTGTCTGGCCCCAGCCCGCTCCTCTGCCCCCTGCCAGGAGAGCCCCGGCGGGGTTCGGCGCCCCCGCCGCCGAGGAGCTGCTGGGGGAGGTGCGGGAGGTGAGCCTGAAGAGGAACAAGACCAACGACGGCTTGGGCTTCAGCATCCGAGGGGGCGCCGAGCACGGGGTGGGCATCTACGTCTCCCTGGTGGAGCCGGGCTCCCTGGCGGAGAAAGAAGGGCTCCGGGTCGGGGACCAGATCCTGAGGGCCAACGACAAGTCCTTGGACAGAGTGACCCACGCCGAAGCTGTCAAGGTAAGTGAGCAATGTGGGAAAGGCGGCAGGGGTTTGACCCCCCGGATTGTGAACCTTAGACCCCCTGAAGGCCGGGGGCAGGATGCTGTCTCTGGCACAGGGGTGTAACTCCTGAGCAACTCCAAACATTCAGCGGCGTGGCCCCTGATTCGCACCTCTGAAGGAGAGATCAGGATCAGTTCCGTGGCATGCTAGAAGGGTGAAAAAACAGGTGTTAACAATGCACAGGGACATGCCAGTCAGTGGAATGTAGAGATCATAACAAACACTAAAGGGCAGGACTATGCTGCCCACAGCCACGACCTGAAAGTGCTTCTCAAAGGTGGACAAGTATCATTATTCTATGTTCAAATGTTTGTCTGTCCAGTTAGAGACCCCATTACCACAGTGTCTGAGCACCTCAGTAACATTCAAGGATCCCCCGCCCCCTTTGCAGTTCTGTGGGGACAGGGCTGTCATCTCATTTTGCAGTTGGGAAACTGAGGCACAAAGAGACTAAGTGCCCTGCTCAAAGTCATTCAGGAAATCGGTGATTAAACCTGGATTTGAACCCTGGTCTGCCGCGTATCTTATGCACTAGACCATCCTACCATCTCCCACGGGTAAAGAAACTGAGGCACTGAGTGGAAAAATGACTTCCCCTCACCCCCCAACCCACAGCGATTCAGTGGCAGTGCTCGGAATAGAACCCAAGTCCCCTTTCGTACCGCTAGATCAGGATGAAAAAAGAATAGTCACACACCTGGGTTGCAAGCCGCTCAGGAACGCTCCCTGCATGCACTCTGTACAACAAATCCCCAACCGGCCCCGAGAGCTACTGTAATACAAATAAATAAGAAGGACAGGGGTGCCATACATCAGAGTTCGCCAGCCAGGGGACTAGGGGGCGGGTATCCACAGAAGGAGTTTTACAGCTGCAGCTCACTGATGTGAACCTAACTCAGGTTAGAGTCACCGAAAGTTGTTGCCCTCTGACAGCAAGATGTTTTGGTGAAATAGGTTGGTGGGCTCAATCCAGAGGTGTCCCATGGCACAATAGCTGGCAATCTTAGCAGAACGGCCAAGGGTTCAATGAGCCAGACAGTCTGGCCCGTAGGGCTGAGGTACGTTGGCAGAGCTGGGGAGGGGAGGTCAGGCTGCCTTGCAGTTAGTTGCCTGGGCTTTAGTTCATCTGTGGATAACTGAAGCACTGTGGTTTCCAGCCCAGTCAGTCTGGTACCTTTCACCAGCACTTGCTTCGACAATCCCTTACTCCTGTGAGTAGTCCCGGTGAGTTCAATGGGGATGACCTGTTGAGTAAGAATTGCTTGCATAAAAATATACAAGATCAAACCCTTCATTTTTAAACTGTCAACTTTTCCCTTCCCAACATTTTAAAATCTCTACCCCCTGGTGAAAAAAATTTGTTCCAAGCTGAAATGTAGGTATAAATAATCTCAGGACCAGCCTGAAGTTTCTGACATTTAAAGAAAAATTATAGGAGAATAAAAATGGAATCTTATCAATTTAATATGGTATTCTGTGCTCGCAAAACTGAAAGAAAATGTATGTTGCATGGTGCAGTGATTAGAGATGGGGACTGGGTGCCAGGACTCCTGAGTTCTATTCATAGCTCTGCCACTGACTCAACCTTGTGTCCTTGGGAAATTCACTTAACAGCTCCGTGTCTCCATTTACCCACTGGTAAAATGTAGATAACCATATCTACCGTCTTCACATGGATATTTTTAGGCTTCGTTCATTAGTGTTTGTGTAAAGCACTTGCAGCTTCTTGTCCGAACATATATAATATATATTATATTATATAATAAAATTTGTCAAGGGGCTATTCCATAAAAGATCTCCTTATGGGTATTTTGAAATGATCAGGGTATAAAATGGAAGCTCAGAAATTATCTACACATGGGCTGAAACTTTTTCAAACAATCATTTCATCACATATCCAGGGGAACTGGCATCTTTCAAAGCTCTTGTGGTCTGTTGATGAAGAATGATGCGTATAGTACACTTCGATGGCACTGAAGAAACCCTGCTCCTTCTTTTAAAAGGCATCACATAAAGATTAACATAGCTAGCCAGGATGGCTCCTCTGGAGATTTTAAAACTGAGTTAAATTAATGCATCGTATTGCTGTGACGCCTTTGAAATAAACCCCAAGGAAATGTGAAGTTAAAAACCTATTTCAAATAACGTTAGGGATCTGACTTCAAAAGACGCAACTCAGGGTTAAGGTATAAACGCCATCCATAACCATAGGTGCTGGAATTAGCGGTGCTACTTCACCCCCTGGCTTGCAGTAGCTTTCATTATATCCACGGTTTACAGTTTGGTTCAGTGGCTCTCAGCACCCCCACTATAAAAATGGTACCAGCCCCCCTGACCATAACTCACTGTGTTGTATGCAGTTATAGTAGGTTCCTGAGCACTTGAGAGGATCTTCTACACCCATTTGAGCTGCAATGACAAAGTGTGTTAAGGATATTTTCCAAGCAGAGAGTCCAGTCCTTCACTCCTTGCGCAACCTCCCCCCTGAAATCAATAGAGATCAGATTCAGCCTTGGCGTAAGCATGTGCAACACCACGACAGTCAATAGAAAAAATTCGGCTCTCAGTTACACCAGGCTAAATCTGGAAACCTCCACCTACGTCAGTGCGTTACACCAGCATAAATGATAACAGAATTTGGCCCAATGGGCTAATGCCAGGGCTAATTGGCCCTTGGGAGTTTAAGGTGCACAAAAATTCAGGCCCAGAGAAATGTGTGCGATTTTTCTTCCTGTGACTTAGGGTTATTGCTGATATAAAATGTGAGCAGAGTTTAGTACCAGCTGGGGTTCTTTCCTGGCACAAAAACATAAATTACTCTAATAAGATTCCCTGAACATTGTCTTGTCCAGAAGTTTGCTTTAAATTATTAGGGGACAATAGCTTTCCTTCTAAAGCGGTCTGATTAAAGTATGCTTTCCAGTCTTCTGAGGGGTATTAGTCTGGTTCCCCATTTAGTTGAAAAGGAGTATGCCTTCCCTACTGCATTCTGATCTTAATTGTCCTGCAGCAAAAGTTGACTGTCTGGGTCTGGAGACTTCAGTATATGCAAAGCATGCTACCAAAAGATAGGAGTAATCAAAGCTCATTCTTCGGGGTACAAGGTGACCACCACAGGAGTCAGGAAGGAATTTCCTCTCTACTCATTCTGCCATTCCCCCTACCCCCCGGCCTGCTGCTTTTATGGGTTTCTTTCCTTCTTCTGAAGCATCACATGTTGACCACGGACAGAATCATAGCCTGCCAGTGGTCTGATCCAATATGGCACCTCCCAGATTACACAATGATGGGTACTGTACAAAAGCATAGGCAAACAGTCAGTCATTTAGATAAGATAAATAAAAACATAGGTTCATGGAATCTATTAAACGAATTCACAGAGCGACTGATACATTCATCTCAGTAGGCCAAGGTAGTTCAGGCACTTTTGCCTTTTTTTAGCATTTGATCCTTTATTTGACCTTGCAAAAATAATCTCATCTTTCCTGCATTCTTCCATGAAGGAAGCGAGAGAGACCAAGTCTGACATGGGGCAGTTCCTCTTTCTATTGGCTGCTGTCCCCATAGACAATTCATAGAATAGTAATCATTTTGAAAGAGTCTTACAAAGACAGGGTATCCTAAGAGTGGAAACTTGGCTCCAAGATAAGACTGCCACGAAACCAGACAAAGGAGACATAAATTATGAGTTACATACCATTCTACCTGGAAATTTACTTTTGTACCATGACCTGGGCTAAGATATTTTAGTGTAAGTGAGAGAAAAAGTAGGATTCTAACATAAGTAGCTAGATTACCTGAGCACTCCAAATCAAATTCACTTAATGACTGGCTTCTTAACCCAGTGCGAGCGCTGGGGTTTTATGCCTAGCCTGCTCCGTAGTCTGAGTGTGTTTCATCCAAATCAGAATTAAATGACTTCATTACAATTGTAGCTCCATCATTCTGGCACTCAGGGGCTTATCAAAAGCACATTGTAATTTAAATCATACTCTAAGTGAAGATGTTTGCATTGTCTCTGCTTTCTAGAACTCACCTGGCTGTGTTTACTCTTGCTAAAGTATAATCCTTGGTATTATAGCAACAGACAAGTGAGTGTATGTTTCACTAAGCCATAATATTTTGTCCAACACACTTTCAATTCAAAAACAATGTGAGCTATGTATCACACCCGGAGACATTTCTCCTCTTCACTTATTGTAGGGTGACCAGATGTCCCGATTTTATAGGGACAGTTCTGATATTCGGTGCTTTTTGTTATATAAGTACCTATTACTCCTCACCCCCCATCCCGATTTTTCACACTTGCTGTCTGGTCACCCTAACTTATTGTCAGGTTCTTATTTTGCAGCTCACCCCTTTCATTTTTTTCAGTTTGAAGGAAATAGATAATTGGGCCAGATCCTCTGCTGGCGTAAATCAGCAGAATTCCAATGGGTACGATTCCAATCTAAGCTACACCAATGTAAATCTAGAGTAACTCCACCAGCCTCAGTGGAACTGCATGGATTTACCACATCAGAGGATCTGGCTCGATGAGTTTGATTCTGATCTCATTCATGCTGGCGTAGATCCAGAGTAACCTCACCAAAGTCAGTGGACCCACCCTAGATTTGCACCAGTGTAACTCAGATCAGCATCTTTGAAAGGATTCTGTGATCTCATTTCAGGGATAAGGAGCCAGGGCAGAGGCTGTGATGAGACAGATCTGTTGTTGGAAAGCAAAATAAATACAGAATACAGTAGAGCGATGTGACAGCTCACAAGTAGTCTATCCTTTTAGCAGGTGTGTTCCCCTTGTGCAGCTCTGTCTTAGAAGACTTGATTGTGATGGAAGAGGCTCAGGTGGCCAGAGGGTGGATTTTATCCATTTGTACTTGTTTGCCTCAGTTTGGTACACAGGGTTTTAATTCACTCAGAGATGTTCTTTTCTTCTCACACTCTGCCTCTGCCAA